GTGGTTTTTTTCACAAAGTACAAAGTTTGATAATTAATACTAATGGCTTCTCAGAGGCCATTATTTGATTGTTTAAATAATAAACCCCTCTAGCGTTGTAGGTTTAACTCATTGTTATTGCCAATGAAGGGTTGTTTGTGTGTCTGTTTGTCTGTGCGCCTGAATAAATTAGAAAAAAATCTATAATATTGTAATCCCCTCCTAAAACCTAGGTGATTTTGGGGAAAACAATGAAAAATGTGCTTAATTAAAAAAAATTAATAAGTAAATAAATTCATCACTCGCTGGAAATATTGCATTTATCATGTCAAGTTTACACACCATGGTATGTTGATTGAAAGCTCTAAACAAACAGGTTTTTCATAGTAAGTCCAATGTATAATGATCAAAGATATTGAACACAAACAGGGAAGCATTTGTTGCTTTCGCAAACAAGAAACAACAGGCTAAATACTGTAATCACAATTTTTTGGCTTGAAATGCACATTCAAGTATCAGAAAGCGAGCAAGTATCAAATACTAAGTGACATTATAACGGCATGAAGATCATATAATCATGCCAACCCTTGGTTACTTTAAAGACCTTGGCGGTTGCGAATACATTTCTAACTTGTATCTGATAAAATTAAATGAAGTACAATCCCGGAGATCAAGCGAAAATTTTGTTATCAGTTTAAATGCTCTCATTACTTGTTGTGAATACTAATCGACGCTCAACAACTACAAGACAGATAATGATTATAGCTAATTGACGTCAACGCGATCAGAAACAGTTTCTCCCGTGCATTCCAATTCCAATATTGTCCCGTTAAAAACGCTATCATAACTTAAAATCACTGTTTTCCTCTTGCTTTTGCTTCGAGTTTCTACTTGAACTCGTCTGTTACAGAACATCGACTGATTCCTGCAAGATCGTATGACGAAAGTGCTCTGCAAATGACGAGCGTCGTTAAAGTACGAACAATGGATCAGAACCGAGCAAACTTAGAATACAAATGGAAAGAAAGACTATTGGGGATACCAGAGAATTAGATTAACCTGACGGGAACTGACGGCAAAAACACTGGAGGGGAAATGACTTCAGTTGTATTATCTTTGTTCGCGTTTCAGGAGTCTAGCGAGGCTACGGTTTACACAAATAGGCTAGATTCTCATCTGTGTTGAACGTAATACTTACGTCTCAGCAAAGTGAACAACAACTGCGGCGAATTATGACGAAATCAAAGACAGACGGTGAACTATTTAGCTGTTCGGCTACTAATAGACACTCCTTAACTCACAAACTAGGTTCGATCTACATCACAATGCTTCTCACATGTCCCGCGACCACTCATGGATGAGTAGAAGGGATGGTTACGTTCTAATTCGCTGCGCTCAGACGAACGTAAATTATTTTCTTTTTAAATACTATATATAGAAATACAACACCAAAGGAATGATGGTTGCATGGATGCTCAGGCAATCCAAGCTGACATTTATTCATACAATTGACGAAAGAATATTACAATTAAGGTACCCTAACTGCTACAATCCCAAATTATCAGTTATTTCTAGACATTCAGATACGTCTTCAAGGACATACATGTCTTTAGCACAGTCCGACTTCCAGCGACCATGTAATTTAAGTAAACGTTCCGATAAGCTGGTGCTGTTGCTATCAACAGATGTAGCCCCTCACAATCTTAAGCTATGCAGGCCATACAACTTGTAGTCCAAGCCAAGATCCTTAAGACAA